TGGTTAATATTTTAAAAAAGAAGTTGACACATCTTGGAGAGGGATGAGTTTCTGAATAAAATTCTGACAGAACGAACATATTCATATTTAAAAAAAAAACTGACTATTGAAGATAGGATTAAAAAACACCATATTAAGGATGTGAAAGTACTAAGGAATGGGTTTAAAGACTTGAAAGGATTATTTTTTTGTGGGGCATGTAACAAAAGTAAAAAGGTTATACATTTATTAAAACTTTTAATTCCATAGCAACTGGAAAGGAATATAAAATTAATATTTTTTTAACTTGCAGTTTAAAGAGGGTGTATACCTCTTAGAATGTACTTGTCCCTTACAACATACAGCAAGAACTTAGAAAGTGCGACATGTTTGTGTTGAATAGTACATTGTATGTTAGCATATGGAAAGAGTTCAAAAGTAATTGTGAACAATTTACTAAAAAGGCATAGGATGTTCACAAAAGGGAAAGGAAACTTTCCCTTTCTAAGGGAATTTTCATTTAGCTTAGTGAATGAGGTGAAGTTGTAGTAACCTCAATCATCCAACCATGCACAGGCAAAAATCCTTTTTAGTTTTAAATTCTCTTTGCACGGTTGCTTATTCTTTGTAAAGTGAATTTTCATAACATTCACTTTACAAAATGAATATACATGCTTTTACCTGGCAGATTCAAGCAAGAAAGATTAGAGGGGGGAAATATGTAATGTGCAAGTTATACTGTATCTCATAAGAATATGATAATTTAACATTTCTCTCTCTTTTCTGGCCACCAAAGCTGCATGCCGAATATGGGCTTCATTGAACTTTTAATGGGACCTCATTCCATCCCCCCCCCCCTTTTTTTTTGGCTGGCACTTTTAATCCTTTTACTGCCAGAGTATTGTTTTTTTATTTTTGCACATGTTACATACATACAGTTTAAGCCTAGTACACACGGGCCAAATATCGGGCGGCATTAGCCAGTTCAAAAGAAACTGAAAGACAAATCGGTCCTTGTGTATGACAGCTGGGCCAAAAAAAGCCTGTCATTTGGCCGGCTTCTGTCAAAGGGGCATGACTGAAAAAGGTCTGTTGATTGGCACTCCAGATTGGAGTTTCTGGCGGGGGGTGGTTAGCACAGTGGCTCCACCTGAGCTGTCAGGTTTTTTTCATTCAACCCGCTGGGTTGAACAAAAAAAAAAAAAATGAGTAGTGTGTACCAGGCTTTAGATCTGAAGATTTCTTGAAACCCCATAAAAAATTATTGGGGGACTTCATAAAGGGTATCTATGAAACCCTTTAAAATTCCATCATGGTGCAGCACGGAAAGTGTATGTTCTTGTGTTCAATTCATGCCATGGAGAGCTACATGAATTTGTCTGTCTCTGCACTGAGGAAGGTGTGGTAATACTGGACATTCCTTCCCCAGTGTACTCACTCCCATCCTGCCTTCCCCACCAATGCACGCATCACACTGACAGGCACTTGGCTGAGGAGTTTTCATACTGGGGTGGCAGGAGCCTGATGGGGAACTGAGAGTAGTTTTCTATCAGATTTGCTTCACTTTTGAATGACAGTTCAGGGGAGTAGGTGGATCCATAACTGCTATTCAAGTCAATCCAATAATGATTTCCAAACTGCCCATTACTGCGTGCTCTCAATCAAAATTGAAGCCGACTTGGTTGTGAATTAATTTCTCAGTTCCCCTATCAGGCTCTGCCTACTCAATGACAAGTAATTTCCCAAATATCAACAATGTCCATGTTTGAGTAATGACATCAGCAGGGGCGGACTGACAACTCATTGGGCCCCTGGGCAATAGGGGATAATGGGGCCCCTGTGTCCTTGCCCACACTCAAACCACACCCAAAAAAGCCTATGAAAGGTACCAGGAACATCTCATGGGGCCCCCTACTGACCCCGGGCCCTCGGGCAGTGCCCGAGTTCCCCAATGGTCAGTCCACCCCTGGACATCAGTAATATCCCTGGCCCAGTTGTTTTCATTCTGCTTTCAGACGGAGAGTATCCCAGCAAACAACTAAATGAGACGGAGAATACAGTGCTGCCTGGGAAGCGTTCACATACTTGACAGCTTTCCAGCACAAGCACAACCCGCTCTAGGTACAAGCATATCTCTGTATGAACTCTAAATTGGGGGTAATTCCTAAGAATTTGTCACTGCCATAGTGACAGGTTCCTAAAATGGGGGTAGTAAAAACTACCTGAATTTGCTGCTCATCCCAGTAATGTTATGACTGGCCAAATAGCTGATTTCCTGAATTAAAGACAAGTAGGAATTTCTTGTTAAGGCTGTTTTGAATTCCCCTGTATATATTTTCTGAAAAGAACAGGAAAAAGCGCCTCTAGGTGTAGACTCACTTTAAAATGTATTGGTATAAAAAGTAGGCAACTCTGCCAGCTGGCAGACATTCCGCATCCAGAAGGGTGGTCCGGAACCCTTTGTAGACCACAGCACTGGCGTGATGAGGTCACCGGGAGGAAGAGCAGTTGTGATCTTCTTCCTGGTTGTTGTGTTTACTGATGAGCCTTTTGAACTTTTGAGATATCATCACACCAGCACTGCGGTCCACAGAGCATTCTAGCCCTAGTTCTTTTACCCTGTTTAGCAGGTGGTGTCTTAACTTGCCTGCAGTGTGTTCAATTCTGTTTAAACTGCCATTTATGCTAATATGTATTAATAGATTAAGCGTGTTTATCACTAAATGGGTATATGTTTATTTATCGGCAATACCCCACTGCCAGGAGACAGGTATTTCTTGTGCTTGCAGTGATTTTATTGAAACAGGTGTATCAGAGGGGCTGAGGTTGTTCTTGGAGTCGAGGCACAAACCAGGGAACCCAAAATCACCAAGCGGCTCCTTCAGGGGTGGTGCTACATATAATTTTCACTGCCAGCAAATTTCAATACTACCTTTATACACTGAGTAAGTTCTTGTCTATTGGTACTAAATACGTGTCTGTTGAGGATGTACAGTTTGCCTTATTTGACAAAACTTCATTTTTTATTTTTCTAATAGTGTGCAACAGGAAAAGATAATACTAATGACCAATAGATATTGAAAATCAATGCACAATTAAGATATCTTTCAGCAGTAATTGTTAATTGATGAGTAAGTTTGACCTCCTCTCTGACCTCCTCCCATCCTGGAATAATGTGCCTAATTAGTAATACTTTCTCTCTTTGAACAACATAAACTTTATTTAGATTCCAAAGTGTTCATCCACCCTTGCCCCATTCTTTTCTGCTCTTCTCTTTCTCTTTTTACTATCTCTCTATTATCTGCCACTTATTTTTACACATTAAAGTGGATCTGAAGGCTCAAGGTTTTTTACCTTCATGCATTCTATGCATGAAGGTAAAAAACCTTCTCTGTGCAACATCCCCCCAGCCCTCCCCAATACTCGCCTAAGCCCCCTCTCAATCCAGCGATGTGAATTGGAGTCACGGCTATCCCGGGACTCCCTCTTCTCACCACTGGCTGAGACAGAAGCGGGAGTCATTGGCTCCCACTGCTGTCAATCACAGTCAGTGAGTCAATAAGAAGAGGGGGGGTTGGGCCAAGCCACGGCTCCATGTGTGAATGGACACACAGAGCAGCGGGTGACCCCATAGCAAGCAGCTTTCTGTGGGGGCACCTGGCCTTTAGAGTCACTTTAAGATATACAAGTCATCTTGATAACTGTCCCACTGGCTAGCTAACTTTTTGTGAATGTTGAAATACAGATCTCTGCTGTCAATTTACTGTACCACAATAATTCCTTAGATCCTTACCAGATGTGATACCAACAGGTTTGTATACCTAATGGCTTGTATGCTTATTTCTTCCTGGAATAAATACTATTGAAAAATGTAACCTTTCACTACCAGAAAAAAATCCAGCATTGTAAACTCAGTGTAAATCATGATAAATGTCGCCCATTGATCATTGACATAAAAAACTCATTGATACCTTGAGCAGATCACCGTGTACATGACAGCCCTCTGGAGCTATCTTAGGGTTTATTTACAAGGGATGTAGTAATATTTGATCAGGGATGATACCAATACCCTGCCCATTTGTTTATATGACCAGAGATTCCCAGCCGTGTATGTGATCTCATTGTTTGTTAAGGATTCAGCAGTGCCTGCACCCACTGGTGACCTTGACAATCATTGACAATGGGAAGCTGTCATATATATTAGTGGTAGCTATACTGCTATTATACAAAATGTTCAGGACCTGCTGAATGGGTAAACATTTGGGTGTAAACCAGGGGCGGACTGACAACTCATGGGGCCCCCGGGCAATTGGGGATCATGTGGCCCCTGTTTCCTTGCCCACACTCAAAACACACCCAAAAAAGCCTATAAAAAGGTACCAGGGGCATTTTATGGGGCCCCCGAGTGCTCGAATGGTCAGTCACCCCTGGTGTTAACAGTGTTTCGGTTTGAATTCTGAACAGCTAAGGTTTTTTAAATACCTCAGACAAAATCTTTAAAGTGGTACTAAACCTACAACAGTACAATCAGCCTGTATATGCAGTAAAGCATTCTTGATATACTCACTGTGGCACCTAAGGGGTTAATCCTCTGCATTGTGGAAAAAGGCTGTTTAATCCCGACTTCTCTAATCCTCCCCTTCTTCCATTGTCCTCCTCTTATCTCCTGATAAGACATATTGTGTGGAGACACTCTGAACATGCTTAGTTTGGTGTGCATTGCTAGAGAGGGTTTTTATGGGAGAGTTTAGCACAGGGCCAATTAGTGTCCAGACAGGGGTCAGGGGTTCTGCATCCTCCTAGAGCAGAAAGAAAGCTCCTCCAACAAGCTTTAACCAGTGCTCTGCTGAACACTGATAGAAGTCACAAGGCTGCTCTAACTGCTGATGAGAAAAGGTATTTAGCAGTTTATATTTACAAAAATATTTGCATTTCCATGTTCTGTGTACTATGAGAGACCAGATATAGTGAATACAGGGTCCGGGAAGACCAGATATAGTGAATGCAGAGTCCGGGGGGACCGGATATAGTGAATGCAGGGTCCTGGGAGACCGGATATAGTGAATGCAGGGTCCGGGGAGACCAGATATAGTGGATGCAGGGTCCGGGGAGACCAGATATAGTGAATGCAGGGTCCTGGGAGAGCGGATATAGTGAATGCAGGGTCCAGGGAGACCAGATATAGTGAATGCAGGGTCCAGGGAGACCAGATATAGTGAATGCAGGGTCCAGGGAGACCAGATATAGTGAATGCAGGGTTCGGGGAGACCAGATATAGTGGATGCAGGGTTCGGGGAGACCAGATATAGTGAACGCAGGGTCCGGGGAGACCAGATATAGTGAATGCAGGGTTCGGGGAGACCAGATATAGTGAATGCAGGGTCCGGGGAGACCAGATATAGTGAACGCAGGGTCCGGGGAGACCAGATATAGTGAATGCAGGGTCCTGGCAGAGCGGATATAGTGGATGCAGGGTCCGGGGAGACCAGATATAGTGAATGCAGGGGCCTGGGTTTAGTAACACTTTAACTCATCCCTAATAAATACCATGACATTGCTAAAATTGCCAGTGTGGTACAGGGATATAAAAAACAATAAAGGACGTAGACACAAAGAAGAAAAACAAAATAGTGCCTAACATAACTGCCCCAGTGTGCTTTGCCGTGTTAATAAAAATTACTTTTGGAAGATGCTAATCACCAAAAAAAGCTTTATTTGTCAAAAACGGTGTGTGTATCTCTACGTATTATATTAATAGCAAATTGATTACCAAATAATTACATTTATAATAATAACTAATAAGATAAAAAAATGCTTAGGTCTATAAGGGGTAAACAACTGTTAAGAGCACATGTGGTTAAAAAGTATGAAAAGATAAAAAAGAGTAGTAGAGTGTTATAGGAATACCATCATCCCTGTACAAGCCATCAAGAACAACCCCTCTATTGATTGTGACTATTATAGGCAATGATATGTGAGCTTGTATATAAAAAGACATAAACAGCATTATTGGTACAAAAATCAATAAAAATAGAAACAAAAGGCAGATATATATTACATGTGCGAGTACCACAAATTGTGTTACAGTAGGAAAGCATGCATATATCTGTCCATAGTATGGTAGGTGGCAGAGACTAAGTGCCCATGACAACCAGTCAGAACCAGTGAAAGCTGATCTGACTATGATAAGTTGGAATTTAATTAATGTGGCCAACCATACTGCTTTATTTTCCAATGTGTTATTAGAAGGTTCAAAGGTTGAAAAAAAAATGCTTTTAGAATATGTCACTGAAAAGCTACCCCTTATTTAACAGTTTACAGAAATTTCTGCTTCAGAACTCATCTAAAGAAACGAATATCCAATCAATTCATTCGCATTTGCTTCTTGTATGCTACAGACCTAATTACAATGATCATTACAAACATGTCTTCTAAAGCGCGACCTCTTATTTCATTATTCTCTTAATTGCTGTGTTGAGCTGAGATCACTTTGCTGACTGGCAGAGGAAGGTCAAGGGAAAGACCCATTTGCACTTTTATTGTCTTGTTCCTAATTTATTTATGTAAGCTTTCCATTTACTATAGGAGTTAAATGTGAAGTCTGAAATTGCAATAATTAAGCACTTCTCTAGTTAATTGTGTATTAAGTATGCCAATTCTCGGCTGAATGTGGTTCTAAAGGCTCAAACTTATTTTTACTTTAAAATAAAAAACACGTCATACTGACTTGCTCTGTGCAGTGGTGTTGCAAAGAGCATCCCCGATCCTCCTGTTCTCGGCTCTACCGCTGGTGCTCCTGACATCTCCCCTTTGCCGAGTGCCCCCAGAGAACACTTGTGAATGCTCGCTCCTGAACCACCTCTGCGTATCTATGGGGCACACAGAGAAAGGCTCAGTCCCACCCCCCACTCCCTCCTCCACAACCAATGACTCCCGATGTGGTGTCTCAGCCAATGACGAAAGTGAGACCTGGGAGAGCCACTGCTCTCATGCACATCGCTGGATTGAGATTGGGCTCAGGTAAGTATTAGCAGGGGCTGTGAGGGGAGCAGCACACTGAAGCACACATAGAATGCATGAAGGTAAAAAACCTTATACCTTTACAACTTCTTTAACTGCTTGCCCGCCGCCCTATAACAGAAATACTGCTACAGGGTAGCAGGGCTATGCAAAATCACGAATATATATGTGATTTTGCATTTCCGGGTACGGCGCATGCCCTACCAACGCTGCCATTGGCGGCTTCAGCTGTCAATCACCGGATCCTGGCCTGAGATTCCCCGCAGGCACCCGGCGAGTATCACTGACAGGAGAGAGGTTTGTATGTAAACAATACAGATCTCTTCCCTGTCAGGTCCAGCACGCTGATTTATATTGCTCTGCATAGCATAGCAGAGGAAAACAAAGCAGCGTGCTTACACACAGACAGCACACCATAAAACAAGACACAGTTAACCCTTTGATCGCCCCAGGTGCTGGGGCGGACTGACAACTCATGGGGCCCCGGGCAATAGGGGATCATGGGGCCCCTGTGTCCTTGCCCAAACTAAAAAAAGCCTATGAAAAAGGTACCAGGGGCATTTCATGGGGCCCTCCACTGACCCTGGGCCCTCGGGCAGTGCCCAAGTGTCCAAATGGTCAGTCCGCCTCTGCCCAGGTGTTAACCCCTTCCTGCCCATTGCCATTAGTACAGCTTTTTATTAGCACTGATAACTGTATTAGTGTCACTGGGGAGGACAGTGACAGTTAGTCAGTTCCCCCCCAGTGTCAGAATGCCTGTCGCAGTCCCGCTATAAGTCGCTGATCACTGCCATTACTAGTATATAAAAACAAATTCCAGTTTATATGCCGCCATTTGTAGATGCTATAACTTTCATGTAAACCAATAATTTACATGTATTGGGATATTCTTTTTTTTAGCAAAGACATGGAGTAGAATACAGTTTTTGCCTAAATTTCTGATGACATTTTTAAAAAAATTTTTACTGGACATGTTTAATAGCAAAAAATGTAAAAAGTATTGTTTTTTTTTCTCAAAATTGTTGGTCTTTTTTTGTTTATAGTGCAAAAAATGCACAGGTGATCAAATACCACCAAAAGAAAGCTCTATTTCTGGGGAAAAAAAGGACACAAATTTAATTTGGGTGCAGCATTGCATGACCGCGCAATTGTCAGTTTAAATAGCGCAGCGCCGTATCGCCTGGTCAGGAAGAGGGGTAAATCCTCTGCTGGGCAAGTGGTTAAACCAGCAATCTAACCAAAATTGATATTTGACTTTGGGCAGATGTTTGGGCAGTGTTTGACTGACTTACTTTTTGGGGTTGATTTAAAGAATAAAGAATGTTAAAATAAGATGAAACTCTGAAGCTGACTTAATGAAGGCCATTTACACCAGAGCTTAGTAAATGAGGAGAAGCTCTGATGACTTCCATCATCCAATCATGTGCAAGCAAAAATGCTTTTTTTCTTTTCCTTGCATGTGATTAGGAATTCTTTGCAAAGTAAAGATTCACCTCATTTTTTGAATTTATTGAAAAGGGTCAGTAAAAATAAGTACTGTATACATCCACAAAACATTGTAATAGTTGTAAATACAGAGTAATGGAATTCCATAAAAGATCATACTACACAATTTCATCTCTGAAGAAGAACAAGACAGAAATTAGGCATACCTAAATGGATGCATATAAAAGATTATTTTGTTATCAGACAAAATACAAAAACCCTTACAAGCAGAGTAAAAAGAAACACTGAGAAGAATGTCCGCACCCTTTCCAGAGAAAAAAAAAATATTTAATCTTCGAAGGCTGAAAGGCCTCATAAATGTATTTTCACCTGTATACACATTAAAAACAGTGGGACTTGCTCGCATTCTGAGTATTCAACCAAGGACCCCAAATCTTGTAAAATGTCCTAGGACATCCTTTGGCTTCATACATCAGTTTTTGTAGGGGCATTTGTTGATTAATCAGTTTTTTTTTCCATAAACCAATATATAGCACCTCAGTATGGGTCCAGTGAAGGACAGGACAATCATTTTCCTGGCATAGTTACATAGTTAGTCTGGCTGAAAAAATACAAAAGTTCATCCAGTTCAACCATTAAAAAAAAAGTTATAATCCTATACCCACAGGTGATCCAGAGCAAGGCAAAAAAAAAACCCAACAAAGCATGATCCAATTTGATCCTGCAGGGGAAACAAATTCCTTTCTGATCCCCCGAAAGACAATCAGATATTCCCTGGATCAGCTTTACCTGTTTTAAATGTAAGTATCCAGTTATATTCTCTGTATCTAGGAAAGAATCCAGGCCTTTTTTAAAGCACTCCACTGAGCTGGCCAGAACCAACTCTTGAGGCAGTATATTCCACATTTTCACAGCTCTTACTGTGAAGAAACCTTTCCGTGTATGGAGATCAAATCTCTTTTCCTCCAGACATAAAGAGTGCCCCCTTGTCCTCTATGATGACCTCAGGGTGAATAGCTCTACACCGAATTCACTTGGTATGAACCCCAGATGTATTTATACATGGTGATCATATCCCCCCCCCCCCTTAATCTCCTCTTCTCAAGAGAGAATAAATTCTGCATATTCCAGATGAGGTCTTACTAATGATTTGTACCGGAGTAATATGATATCTCTCTCTCTCTGGAGTCTATACCTCTTTTAATACAAGTGTCACATACCTAGTTGGGGAGCCTGAAGTGGAGAGAGGGCGTCCTCTTACAACCCCGCTCAGAGCCCCTGGAAGTGGGAACAGGGGCGCAGAGCCAGGAGTGGCAGGAGTGCCATGTGGATCCCGAAGACTGTCGGCAGGTATCTGGGGACCCAGGAGATCCGGACACAAGCCAGGTGTGAGTGCAGAAACGTTGGTTCAGCATCAAGCAGGTGTGGCAGAAGTCTGAGTGCGGGTTGCGGTGGCTGACAGGTATGGCGGCCAGATGCAGAGCCGTGGATACAGTGGCAGTTGGTTATGGTAGCCAACCAGATGCAGGTCAGGTGCATGTGCACGCAGGATAATGCAGCGGAGTCAGGCAAGCCAGGTCAATATTAAGCGGGCAGCGAAGTACAGGAGGAGCAGACAAGAGAATGGTCAGGGATAGCTGGGGTCAGTGCAGGCAGAGTTCTTTCTCAGGCGGGTATACAGAATACAGGTATCAGGATCAGGAATGTATGCAGGAACGTTGTAGACCAGAAGGCAGTGATTTTACATTGAAGCAGGTTTAAATAGCCAGCCTGACGTGATGTGGGTGCTTACTGCGCATGTGCACGCTTTCTGCGCTACCACGCATGCGCGGCCGCACGCTCCCGTGCCTGCTCACTTGCACCACCGCGACTCGAGGGGATCCGTCACCGTTGCACCGCTGCACAGCGACAGGATCCCTGACAACAAGAGAGGATTTTGCTTGCATAATACAACATAAGCCAGAAAAAATGTATGCATACTGCAATCATAAGAATAAGGATGTTCCAGATATCTGCCCCCCTAGGTGAATGAGTATGGGGAAAATAATATGAGCATCACCCAGCAGCAGTGATACACAGTGTAACTCAGGACGTCCAGCAGGTCATTGTAAACAAACCAGCCTGGAGATCCTTGG